CAGTTGACTAAAGTTATCTTGTCTGATACCGAACATCCTCTTTGTTCTTAACCTTCTGGTATCATCTCTCTTCGGGTAAAACCAGAAGAAACTTCATAAGAATTGACGCTTGTACAACTAAATATAAAAATTTACCATACCACAGTTAGCACGGGTTTTGTATGAAGAGTCAGATGTCAGAAAGGAACTTATAAGCTTTTTAAATGTGTAACCTGAACTGCAAAGTATGAGCAAAGATTATTATTATCATTATTATGTGTATTATTTATGATACTACCTACTCGCACTTCATTATGTTCCCACTTATATTTTGTTTATACAGTTTCATTTATTATTAATAGTAATATTTTAAGTTATATATATGTACATATTTATAAAAGCAGTTAAATTGTCGCAGTATGTATAAAAACGCTGAAAATTCCATTTTATCTAATTATGATTGTTTGGAATAAAGTTATTATTTATTTTAAAAATAAGCCTTCAGTATGTAGTAGAGAAATTACTCTTACGGCTGTCGCAACAGTCCCATCATATACAATTTACCAGTTCAAAAATCTCCATCCACTCACATAAAAGAAAAGGCTTTCAGTGGAGAGTTACTCTTTTCAACGAAAACATTTTCAAGCTGTACAAAACTAAATTTTCTTAGCAATTATTTTTTATTTATTATTTTTTCCTTCACGTTCCCCAGTGGAACATAGGGTCTCAAGCTAGTAGCTTGAAGTTTCTGTAGCAGTGTTTATTTTACAAGATGGGGTGGCTAGCCTCATTCCCAACCTATCTTCTTTACAAGCTTTAGTTCTTGCTCAGCGAGGTAAAGGAGTGCGTCTGTGGCCTGGGATTGAACCCCGGATCATGCGCATGGTCGGCGAGCGTGCTAACCGCTGTCACCGACGCACGACAAATTAAGACAAACAAATTAAGACAGCAAATTAAGTGATATAAGAGGCGTTAATCACGTACAAACTAAAATAAAATTAAATAAGTAAACTGAATGACGTAATATAATTGACAGGGCTGAGTAGCATTCAACTAAAGTTGAAGGTGAGACAAGTTAACAACAGTGGCAATAAGGGACAGATATTTAATGGGGAGGGTGACAATTTAAAAACAAGAATTACATATCCATGGTTAAGATACATCAGGTCCATTGCAGATTTAATGACTGAACAAACGTCTTCTGCATGCAGAGTTCGAGATTTAACATGTGAATTGCCATTGCTTCAGCAGTTTGAGAAAGTTTGATTCCTACCTTTTTAGCAAGATTCCCATGTATTTCGTAGATTACTCTATAGTTGGTTTGTAGGTTCATGCAAATCATTCATTTCATAGAGAGACCTATTCGAAGTTCAGCTGAAAATGTTTTCTTCAATGAGCGGGATAGGCAGTTTCTCAGTATTTTTACCGATGCGTCTCCACTGAACTGCGGATTCAGTAGAGAAGCATTTTGTGAGCAGAAAGTGTACTTGGCATTAGTAGCTTAGATGTTATGGATTTTGTAGTGAATTGTCCTGGGTAGCCATTCAATGGTGACTTCATTTTGGAGTGTTCGGATGCTCTAAATAATCTGAGGGCTGCAAATATTGTGGATTTCCTGGCTCACTTAACGGATCAGGTTTCGTTTTGTTTACAGAGGCACTCAACTATAAAATTTCGTGTGTTGTCGGTTCCATGTCGGATTTCTGTCATACCGATCTTTCTAGCGCTCTACCTTGATCAGCTATTGCTAGCTGAACGTCCAGGGTCCTATAATGTGAAGTGGATTGTAGGGTGGGAGCTGCTGAGAAAATTCAGTGTGTCTTTCAAATTTGCATCGTCATTGGAGGTAATGAAAATAACGTCCATACATCTCTTGTAAAACCCAAAGTTGGCAGTCATCTTTAAGTAGGCATAGAATCAGCTGCGTTTGCAACCCTGAGACTATGGAAGAGGCTCTGAAGTAAGGTGAACTCGTGAAGTTACAATAAACCACTGAGGAAGATCAGTGATGAATGAAGTCGAACGGGTCCATTTTACAGAAATTTCATATTAGACTTGAATTATACAAGTCAGACATCCTTCTACGCTAAGCTAAATTCATCTCAAGGAATCACACCATTCTATCAAACTGCCAACTAGATTTCTGGAGAGAACTGGATAAAGTCTATGAAAAGAAACCAAGTAAAAACTACTCATTGAAAGGCAAACGCCTCTTTGAATAAAAAAGTTTAAGCTCATGGTTCACTGTGATGTTTCATTCATTCATTTTCATTTGAATAGTCAAATATATGCACAAATAAAAAGGCACTAATAGGATTATCGATGCTAAGACTGATTGCTTAATTTAAACAAAGGTCGTTCAAATGACTTGCGAAGATGACACATTCCTTACAATTAAAGGATACTATTTGAAGAGCGTTCACTAACAGTGTTGTCGATTTATCAAGAGTTGTACAGAATAAAATTTCCGATTTTGGAAGTTTTCAATTATCTAGATCTCGGAGATCCTGAACCCATCGCTGGTTCCAGAAGACTCGCCTAATATGTAGAATACTATGCATGGTAACCGACATGGAAGAACAGAAAACGGTAGGATTATGTGACTGTTTATTCTTCCACTGTCGACGAGACTGAAGCACAATTCACTATGTGCAAAGCCTGTAAATGAGCGTTGATATAATGTACTATTATACTTCCGATTGTATTTCTCTAGTTCTCTGACAACCAATTAAGCAGCTATAGCCCTCTTATCCCCCGCCAAATGGAGACCATTTCGAATAAACAAACGTTTCAGTGTCCACCAACACTGACCGATGTCTTGATCGAAAGAATACGAAGAACACGAAAATTATGATAGTAATACCATAGAAACATACAGACGAAATTGCATTTAAACACTACTCCAAAGTGTGTGGTCTGAGCTCGATTCCTTACCGTCGCACTCCTATAATTCGCCTAGTTTATTAGTCACTTGTAGACTCCGAAGAAAGGAGAAAGGTTTTGAATGAGGCTAAAACATTCACTTTGTAAAGATATTTATGGAAAATAATTGAAATCATTTTCTACTTGGTATTTTAAGAAGCAGAATATAATTTCATTATTCACTTAACTTGTAAAAATGAAACCCTTTCACCGTGAAAACAGCTTGCCTTTACTTGACAGCTGTTAAGTTCATAAATGACAGTTATTTCAAAAAAGCTCCTATTTTGTTATGTAAATAAGCTTTCGAAGCCCATCTCTGGGATCCTAAGTCACATGAGGTAAGTCTTCGGGTTTTTAATTTGAAATTATGTATTATAGATTGATATTTTGGGCCTTTTTTGTTGTTTAGATTGGAATCCACGTAATTCATATTTTCAGATAAAATATAAAGTGTATTGGAATTCTTTTTAAGCAGATGAACTGAGCAAATTGCCTGGATAATTGAGTACTCACTGTATTTTTTCTAATACTGTGATTGGCATGCAGTTGTCAGTTTCATATGCCTAATTTGACATTGCCATGTGAGTATAAAAGAAGAATATTCGCAGGTTTGATCATGAGTTGAAATCGGCTTAGAGAATCACTGGAAAACCTGAGAGCACTGGACAGATATTTTGTCCTAATGTTGGACTCTTCGCAAGCTGAATCTGAGACCTTTTGATCATAATACGAGCTAGAGACCAATTAGCCACTGGAACCTTAACCAATGGTCCATGATTTCCAGCTTCTGCCAGTTGACTATAAGTAAAATGCAGCCACCAGTCAATGTCATTGGCGAGTAAGTGTCCTTTTAGCTGACCTGGTGGACCCAGGTGGTCAGGACTTCCCAAAAGAATTCCAAGTAACTTCCTGTATTCAGCCAGTCACCATTCAGCTTCAGATTTATATATCGAGTTTTGGTTTACAAAAGTATGATTGGTCGTGAGTTTAATCACGAGCCGATAGCAGTTAGAGAAGCATTAGAAAGCCAGGGATTTTCACTGGCAACTAACTGAATAGAGGAAGTTATTTTGAATTCTAGTGGGAAGTTGTGACCAACGGGGGCCAGCAAGTAAGGTGAGAGAACAACCAGTCGCCAGTAAAATCGGTTGGCTGTTGTTCCATTTATATAGCGAATTTACAGGACACGAAATTCATGAGCCACCTTAGTCAGGTTCCAGTAAATGAATGGTCTGATAGCTCACCTTGTGAATGAAAGATCCTGGGCTCAAACCCTGGTGTATGTGTGTACTGACAAAGAGTCCCAAACAAGGACGAAACAGCTGTCCATTACTCCTCAGTGATTTTTCAATGGTGCTGTAAATGATATCATCTTGCAATCAACCTTGTAACCAATCTGATCCCTACAAACTTACACTTGACAGAAATACTTGCTGATTTTTAGTAATTGTATTATTTAGAAATTAGCTTGTTAAGAATTTGGATAACTTAAAAGTAGGTCTAGCCACAGATTAATATCATTCAGAGAATCATTAATAACCTACAGGGTACTTGGAGGCTAATAACTTATAGTTTCACACTTTATAACAGTAGGTACTAATGATCTCTGACCCACCTTTGTTTGTTAATTCGTAGTATGCTTTTGCATCTATCCAATAGTGACGATGAGTATTTTTCCTCTAATCTGATTTATTAGAGTCTGCAGATTGGCTTTTCTTTACTGAATTCGAGGCTAGTCATCAGTGAATTGTGAATGAGTATTCAGGGGTGTGGTGTGTAGGCGTTTCTACTGACTACAAAGTTGATTTCTTCACTAAGTGACATGAAAGATCTTCTAAATGATATATGTTTGAGACTGTATCTACGTCAGTAGGACTGTCGCTGATCACGTGCATGGTACAGGGTTCGATCCTGCTGCTGACGTACATCTGATATCAGTGGTCGGCCTGCAGAATTTGGGCTACCGATATCATATGCTGAAATTCCATACTTGTACCAAAAATACGGTGTGGAATCAAGCTATAATCAAAAAAGATTCGATTGTCTACTTTTATCTATGGTTAAATGTTTAAATTCACACTTTATTCTTTCTTCAACAGGTGTTGTGAAGTTCGGTGTAATATATGCCGAGAAAGAACTGTTATACATCATTGCAAACATTAAAATAAAACAAACAAAGAAAGTCTCTTCAACTTTTCAATTTTTATTCATTAGTAAATGGAGTAAATAGTGAATAATAATATAATTAATCATGATATATATATATACGTGCATTACAGTGTAGGACAATAATCTTTTGATCATTTCACGGATCACTATTTGACTGTGTTCAACTTTTTTCCGTTTTTATTCACTTTTCAATTTATTCATTCAATCTGATTATTTGATCTCAATATTTACCTATTGAATTACTTTCGGTTGTTTTCATAATACTCGTGAAAGCTTTTTATATGCATTATTATACACATTATATATATGCACACATATGCGATTTTATCTGTTGTGAATATTTGCGCGGATTATTTGAAAAATGCGCTACAATAATTATGAACATGATATCTTTGAAATAATTTTACATAACAATAGTTGTGTAAACTGAAAAATCATGTTTCTATCTTCAAAATAATATTTATTCTCGTTGTGTTTCAAGGAAAAAGAAACTTACTGAGTATTAGTGTTTCTGTCATTGTTTCTGTATTCTGTTCTATAACTTCAATTGTAAACTGAAAAATATCTAACGTCATTTCAGTGAAAGATATGTTTTAGAAGAAAGGAAAAGCTCTTTTTATGTATAAACAGTTTTCCTTCTTTCGATATATAACTTTTCATGAAGTATACTACCATCTGTCTCCCTTTCTATCTGTCTTACGTCATATTTGATGTGAAAATTTATTTGTCTGAGGAAAATTTAAACAATAAGTTTCATTAGTGTAATTGTTTTTTTCTATGCCTCCTTATGTATGCCATTCGTGAGTTTATTGAACTAATAAAAGGTATGGTTTGTTTGACAGGGTTGTAATATAATTGTTTTGGAGTCTAAAGAATGAGTGCGTACTGCCGATGATTCCCAAACTAGGATGAAACAGCAGCTGTCCAGTACTCCCTGGTTTACAATGGTTCTCTAACTGATATCAATCCGTGATCAACTCGTAAAACATAACCAACCCCTACAAACCAAACTATAGAAAAACTAAAGAGTAGTAGTCATAAATTCTGAAATCTCCTGTCATCAAAAGAATGTTTACTAAACCAAGAATATTCTTCCCAATAACCCCTTCTTTATCAGGTTCTACAGTTACATATACATAATAATGAATAGATTAGTGTTACACACAAAATTACTGTTTAAAAACATTAGTTCCCTTTATGAATTTAGACAAAGCAATAAGATGTAATTTGTCTGAATCGTGTAATGTATTTGAGCAGCACACACACGGAATTGTCATAGTGTGGTGAGAGCAGGCTGCTAGCCAATTGGTAGACATTAATTTACGTCAATGTCTAGGTCACTAATATTAGCCGTGAGAAAATATGAACAAGGCTGATTCAACAACCAATCACAGCAGACTTAACGTGGGCAAATAAGATTCGCAGACATACGGTTTAACTTTCCGAGAAAACCAGAAACGACCAATCAGAAGACTGTGTTTGTCTGCTTGAATAAGATATAATAATGTACATGAAATATATACAAATACGTGCTGATTTCCGTAATAAAACGATCTGTTGCCGGCCCTTGTCTTCTGTTGTTACAATAGGAATATACACATATGAAAATGAAGTTAATAGGCGGGAAAACACACTTAAGTCAAGTTAAATAGACATATTAAAGGCCGAAATAACAATGAAGATCACTAAACCAAATAACAAAGGTAATAGCACATTTACCCTGGCATCAAAATAAATTCTACCAACAAGGAAGGTTTAGTGGGATGACGAGTTGTCTTTGAAAGCATACAGGTGGTTTACACTTCCTAAATGCTGGCTAGGGCTTCCTCAAACTTTAGCATACGCCTCAAACATGTTTTATAGATAGGTTTAAAATACGTGTGTAAACATCAATTTTACATCCTGCCTCCATAATATTTTTCGCAATAGAACAGCTAGGTCTTCTCTTCTCACCATAAATGGGTTTTGAGGATTTTATTTGCTTTTGGAGCCATTTAGGTATAGTCTCTGAAACTACCCCTTACTTGCAGAGATCGATGAGTCCTCCCTATGCATCTGTGTCCACACGTACATTCAAATAGGAAAATACAGTGGAATGTGATATAATTTTTCGCATGTTCAGAGGGCTTAGATGTTTTCTAAACAACATTGGATTAATAATAATATCAATGGATTACAGTTCGATAGCATCAACACAACAATACGCATTGAATATCAGAGAAATTAGGAAAGATAATAACACAAATTCGTGAATTTATAGTCTCCACTGAAGGCCAGCTAGGGCTGTAGTAGTGGCTGAACTTGCTTCTTTTTCATACAAAGCACTGGTTGTTTCACGCAAATTGCGGTAGCCTCTGCGTTTGGAGCATTTTAATACCTGGATGATTTTGGCAATTTATTCAGTACCCGATAGATGATACAGAAGGATTCTTCAATGCTGACCAGCTTTGTGGCCAGTTTGAACCAGGTAGTCTAATATCGAACTGTTGATGACTTTTACTACAACTTAATTTAGCCACATTGAAATATGTTACCGAGCGAGCACGAAAAATCAAGTTCCTAGAGTAACGGCCAATATTACTCGCTTCACAAGCCTAGTTGAATTGGTAGATACAAGAAGGAGTAACTAGTCTAGGTTATTCATCTTTCAATCAAGAAATCACAACCGGTCATGTAGAAAATATGACTTGAAGTTTACCAGCATTAAAAGTTCTTTGAATAGATTTTCCTAACTTGTTAGTAATTATTTCACTAGGTGAGTCACCCTTGAATTGCTGTCGTATATATATAAAGGCTTCTTACATACAGATGAAGAATAGTCCATTTCCGCTTTCTTGATCATGTATTTCTTCATGAAATTTTCTGGATAACTACTTTTAAATCATGGTGTCGTTAGTCGTTTTGATTTCTGTCTTTATTACTACTGTCATTAGTATTCCTAGTGGGCGTAAACAAATGTCATTATGGTGCCTTTTATCATATCCTAATCAATGAATGAGTTTTTTAGTTGTATGCTCTATTGTCAATTAGCAGTGAGTTAAATATATATAATACTGTCTCTCCAGCTATCCTATTTATTTCATAACTGGCAGCATTGAATTCATCAATCTTGAAGAGGAAATTGTAGGAGTCACTTTAATTATTTTGTTAGTATGTCTTACAGAGAAATTAGAGACATCCACGGAGTTGCCTTGCCATGAGTCATTACTCCCATCGCTATCTATTACTCGTTATTTTGGGAACACAGACTTTTCAAGTGTAGGCCGTAATTTATGATACAAAATCTTGTATGGAAGTACCATTACGGAAATAAGCAAGGTACTTAAGGTGACATGTTTCTGGAAAATTGAAGTCCACAGGAATTTACAGATTCAATGGTATGAGTAATTCAGGTGTTGGTTTGTAAAGATTTGATTGGTTTCAGGGTTTTATCATGAACTGACACAGGGTTATAGGACCATTGGGAAACCAGCTGGAAGTACTGGACAGCTGTTTCGTTAGCCTAGTTTGGGAATCACTGAGGTTTGAAGCCAGGACCTTCTGGTTACAAGGAGAACTCTTAGACTTTTACGTATATACAACTTATTACTTCTGTTAGACATATAAATCAGTCAAATGGTAGGCTTCAGTAGAGTTGTATAAACATCTAAGGAAGAATACTTTAGGTTACCTAGTTATCAATTTTGACGAACTATTAGATGGTTGGAGGCAATCGGCCACAGGAAGCCTTGGACTGCCTAGGTTTTGTGCTAGTTGGCACTCGTCAGCAAGGCGTATCTGCAACCTTGGAGGAACTCATGCCCCTTCTTAGATTTGAGCCCGCGTCACTCAGTGGGACTGCAGTCAGAGACGTTACCAGTGAGCTATTCGGACTCACGATTCACCTCCTGTAGGACTGTAGTGAATATTTTGATTTGACACTGGTAACTAGTTTGATGTGTCTAGTCCTCTCTTTGGTACAGACGAACTATTTCAAGAATTAAAATACTGCTCGTTTATCATTAATGTCAGCAGACAGGTTCAACCGAATGATAGATCCAGAACTTGGACAAAAATGTATAACTTTAAAAAGGCTTATATAAAAGTTGAAAAACTAAATGTAGTGAAATTTCCTTAGAGAAAGATGCATGAATTAGAAAATAACCAGATGAATAACGAAGATTGAATGTAGTTGTGAAAAGTCTTCAAACATCCGCAAGTGCCGTCAACCGTTCATTCAGGACCTCATGAAAACCTCAATCAGACAGTCTACACATCTCAAATACCGTAGGTTAGTGGCTAATGAATCCAGGAATCTCTACTGTGTTTCGTCCTGATCACGCCTGATGGTTTTCAAACCATATCTTACTCCAGATTATATCGATCCCCACCACAGTAGTGTCTCAGTATGTGTCGCAGTCACTGAATTCAGAAAGGCCTAAAAACCACATTGACTTCTCTGCTTCCCTGACACTCTATGACTACCTTCATATCTACTTATCGTGTTGCTCCTGACGACATCAGTAATCAATTGAAGTCACCTGTGATGAAATAAGAACTTAGTGTTCTCATATTCAGCAGTCATAAATACGAGTAGTTATTCTACACATGAATTTTGACAGGTAAACGGATATCATTTCTTCATCACAGAAGATGTAAGATGGCAAATGCAAGAAAAGCATTCGATGTCCACCATGCGATTCAGCCAACAAGCAATTAGTAAATGCAGGCGAAACTTTCGAAATAAGTGAAGTGGTCAAAACCCTCCTTTCTCCTAAATGAAAAGTCAGTGCAGAATGATTTGGTAGCGTCATACTTTACTTCTTAGATCCAAATGGGTGTAATGATACTGAAATGCAGTAGACAACTTGACCAAACACTGAATACGATTGTTCTTCCTCAAGCAACTACTTCTCTGAACCCCAGAAAATATCAGAAGATGAAGACTGGTCTGAGAGGGGAAAATACGTCAATTTTACTAATTACAAATATGAAGAAAATTAAGCTAGTCACAG